CTTATCAAAGGCTTTTTCTGCATCTATAGAAATGATCATGTGATTCTTACTTTTGGCATTATTGATATGTTGGATTACATTTATTAATTTATGTATGTTGAACCATCCCTTCACGCCTGGGATGAATCCCAATTGATCATGGTGTATAATCTTCTTGATGATTTGCTGCATCCTATTTGCCAATATTTTATTGAGGATTTTTGCATCTGTGTTCATTAGGGAGATCAGTCTATAGTTCTCTTTTTTAGTTGGGTCTTTCTCAGGTTTTGGTACTAGAGTAATATTTGCTTCCAGGAATGACTTAGGAAGGATTGCTTCCCTTTCAATTTCATTAAATAGTTTTAGGAGTGTCGGCATTCGGTCTTCTTTGTATTTCTTGTAGAATTCTGCAGTGAATCCATCTGGGCCTGGGCTCTTCTTTGTAGGTAAGGACTTAATTACATGTTCAATTTCATTAACAGAGATTGGGTTATTCAACAGTTTTACATCCCTTTGATCTAGCTTTGGTACTTAATATGTTTCTAAGAATCTGTCTATTTCTTCTGTGTTATCAAACTTTTGAGAGTAGAGGTTTTTGAAATAGGTGTTGATGATCTTCTGTATTTCTATTGGGTCTGTAGTGATTTCACCTTTTTCATTTCTTATTGCATGAATTTGGCCTTTTTCTTCCCTTTTTAAAAATAAGGTTGGCTAGGGGCTTATCGATTTTATTTATTCTTTCAAAGAGTCAACTCTTTGATTTGTTGATTCTTTGGATTGTTTTCTTAGTCTCTATTGCATTGATTTCTGCTCTGATTTTTATAATTTCCTCTCTTCTTTTGGCTTTGGGCTTGACTTGCTCTTCTTTTTCTAGCTGTTTGAGGTGTAGCATCCAGTTATTTATTTGTATTCGTTCTGTTTTCCTGATGTGGGAACTCAGTGCAATAAATTTTCCTCTCATGACGGATTTCATTGCATCCCACAAATTCCGGTAAGTTGTATCTGCATTTTCATTTTCTTTTAGGTATTGTTTAATTTCTTCTTTAATTTCTTCTGTGACCCACTGATTACTCAAGAGTGTGTTATTCAGTTTCCATGTGTGTTTGCGGGATTTTTGCAGTATCTTTTATCATTAATTTCTAATTTCAGAGCTCTATGATCTGATAACATGCAAGGGATGATTTCAACTCTTTTGCATTTGTTTAAATATGTTCTGTGAGCTAATATATCGTCTATTTTAGAGAATGATCCATGGACTGCTGAGAAGAATGTGTATTCTGATGTTGTTGGGTGAAACATTCTGTATATGTCTACCAAACCCATTTGTTCGCAGGTGTGATTCAGTTCTGTTATTTCTTTGCTCATTTTCTGTCTGGTTGATCTGTCCCCTGGTGTCAATGGTGTATTAAGGTCTCCTGTTACAATTGTGTTACTGATAATTTGAGTTTTCATTTCTGTTAATAGTTGTTTTATATAACTGGGTGCTCTGGAGTTTGGTGCGTATATATTTAAGATAGTTATCTCTTCCTCTTGGAGTTTTCCCCTTACGAGTTTGTAGTGACCTTCTTTGTCCTTTATGGTCATTGTTGGTATAAAGTTCACGTTGTCTGCAAACAGAATGGCTACTCCTGCCTTTTTTTTTTTTTTTTTTTGGATTGCTGCTGCATGAAGTATTGTTTTCCATCCTTTGACTTTCAGTCTGTGAGTATCCTTCTGGGTTAGATGGCTTTCCTGTAAACAGCATATGGTTGGATTTTGTTTCTTGATCAATTCTGCTAGTCTGTTTCTTTTGATTGGTGCATTGAGACCATTTAAATAAATGGTTATTACTGTTAAATGCTGGTTTATTGTTGGCATGTTATCTCTCTGCTGTTGCATCTTTATCTTTCTCTTCTGTTTAGTTATTTGCTTTGCTTAGTGGTTTTTTCCTTTGTGTATCTAAACTGTCTTTCAATATTTATTGCAGGGTTGGTTTGGTGTTCATGAAGTCCTTCAGCTGTTCTTTGTCATGGAAATATCATATTTCACCATCAATTTTGCATGATAGTTTTGCAGGGTATATCAGTCTAGGTTGGAAATCATTTTGCTTTAGGATCTGGAATACTTCACTCCATGCTCTTCTTGACTTTATTCTTTGTGCTGAAAAGTCTGCTGTGATTCTGATAGGTTTTCCTTTATAAGTGATCTGTCTTTTCTCTCTGACAGCTTTTAATAATCTATTCTTGTGTTGGATTTCTGGGATGGTGATTATTATATGTCTGGGTGTAGTTTTATTTTGGTTATGACTATTGGGAGTTCTATACGCTTCACTGATCCTGTTGTCAGTTTCTGATCTTATGTTTGGGAAATTTTCAGCTATTATTTCTCTAAATATCCTCTTGACATCCTTTATGTTGTCCCCTTCTTTTTCACTAATCCCTATCAATCTTATGTTCTTTTTCTTTGCATCATCTTGCAGTTGTTGAATTGTTATTTCCTGATTTCTTGTTATTTTTAAAAGATCTTTCCTTTCCTGTTCACTACCTGCAATCTTGTCTTCAGGGTCTGAAATTTTATCTTCACTTTCATTGTGGCTGTTTTTACAACTTTCAATGGACTTTTTGATTTCCTGTATATCTCTGTGCATCTGCTTTATGTATTCTGTTTGTTTCTTATATTGTTCATCCAGGGATTCTTCCTTTTTGTTTAGTTCCTCCAATTTTTAACTGTATCTTCTTTAGATATGTTCAGAATCTCTTTCATTTCTTTTACCATTTCTTCTTTTACTTGGGAGATTATTTCTAGTTTGAATTTCTTTAAAGCTTCCTGGAGTTGCTTCTTCATTTCAGTTCCTATTATGTGTGATATTTCAGGTGTACAGATATATTTTCTTCTATGCACACAGCTCCTAGGCTTTCTTGGGATGGGCTGGAGGTTTGAGATTGTAAGTTGGTCTTTTCTTTTGTCATTTGCCTATATTTCTGTGTTTCAAGTGTTATTCCAAGGCTTCCCCAAGGCGTGTTGGAAATCATCTTCTATGCCCTCAGCTCCTGGGACTCTGGCCACCCAGTTTCCTGGATTGAGAGATGGTCACTGGGTTGGGGCAGGCTAGCTCTAGATCCCCTGAGCTGGTCCAGTGCAACAGGAAGCCACAAAGTTCCCTGTCTGGGGCCAAGCAAGGATCCCAAAGTAGCTGGGCTTGGGAGATGGTGTGGGGACACTAACCCCAGGCCACCCATCTTCTGGAACAGACGGTGCCATTAGGCTCAGAACTCCAGAGTCCTGATACTTTTCTATAGAAACACAAAACAGACTAAGTAGGAAATTCTGCCTTGTCTACAACAGTGAAAGTCAGATAACCATCACTGGAATGAATTAGGAACTTCATTCATTCTTGTGTCATGCTTTACAGAAGAGATGAATGATGTCTTTTTCTCTTCTGTCTCATTGTGTGCAAAGGTAGACAGGCATGCATTCTAAGCATTGTGATCTTCCACCCCTCACTGCCACTAAAAACTAACTGTGCATAATTTCCCAGACTAAATATTTGCCTTTCTACCAACCTACCAGTGGTTTGCCTCTTGCTTTGTTCTGAACTTTCTGTGTGATGGGACACATTACTAATTATTTAGTTGTGCCTTGAAAGTCAGGAATGATGTACATTTTAATGCAGTCATTTGTTTCATCTACTAAAATCTACACAAGCTGCATTATAAAGCCTCATTAATTGTTTATAGTGGTAAAAGTGTGTGTGTGTGTGTGTGTGTGTGTGTGTGTGTGTGTGTGTGTTGCATATTTCAATTCCATTTTCAGGTATATAGCATTAACATAGTGAAACTATTCTTTAATCTCATTAAGTCATTGAGGGCAATGAAAATGACTTCAATCATTGTCAGTATAGCCATACAACCTTTACTCACTGAACTCTTGATTGGGATTCTATGATCTCCTGCTGATTACCCTAACATCTCTTTCTGTCCATTATTCTAAGAACTGCTCAGTATTTGCACATAAGCAGCAACATAAATTTGGCTTCTGCTTCCAAAGAAAAGCCCCATAAGCACCAATTGGTGTTTGAGACATCATTCCAGAATCTCTGTGATTTTTATTTAATGTACTTTTAGGTGGTTTCTAATCCAGAATTTAGCCTTTACCTTTATAGGACTATTCTAATTAAGTTTTCACCTTCTTCCAGGTTGATGGGTCAGTTTCTTTCTCTGCATTTCCTGTTCTTTGACATCTTGTTTCCATGCATAGCATTAGACTTCTTACAGATCAGCTAATGTGCTATCACCTCACAACCATCAATTTGTTCTATTGGTAACATATAAGAGTTGATATACTTCAGAAAACATATACTGTTAACAGGGAAAGAACTGCAGAACATAAGTTACACGAGGTCACAGACTCCACCAGTGTAGTACTCTTCCAGATTTTTCAAATGTACCCTGCCATGCTATGTTTTCCCATAAATAATAGAAGAGATTCAGTAATCATTGAAATAATTCAATCTAGTAATAGTCAACAGGACAGACAGATACATAGTTGCTTGTGTATAGTTGATAGAAATACACATTTGTAATGAACTTATGCTCTGGCAAGCCCCATGATTGTGCACTATTATGAACAGCATTAATGAGTCATGTAGTACTTAACAAATAGGAATTTCCAACAGAAAACACATTCTGATAATTAACGTTAACAATGGAAATTATGCTGCCACCGCCACTCTGAGGAAGACCAAAGGAAGAAGCACCTGGAAAGTGCCTCCTCATTTTAGTATTTGAATTTGATGGTCTCAAGTTTCACATATGCTCCCAATGACCAGTGTCTCAGGATGCTGGATGTAAAAATTGTAATATTGGAACTTGTTTCATCTGTTGAGATTTGTATGAAACATAATTAAGTATAACTGAGTTCTACTGTCATCTTCTGTCATAAAAAACAGAGATATTACAGAAGGAAACTTACAGTTTCTCTGCTAGGGGAAATTGAAAGTTAAGGACAAGGATGGGAGGAGCCTCACACTCTGTCCTTGGGCTTCTGCAGTGTGAGCCACACAGCACTCCTGAGATTGTTGGGATGACTCTGAACAGTATCATTTATCTTTACTACCTTTAGAAAATACTTTACTTTTGTAGCATTTAAGAAGATTACAACACCTTACTATGTAGTTTTCTAAATTTTTACTGATTTGCCTTCCTCTTCAAGCATAACAACCATTAGATCCTGCATTGATAAAAATCTCAAGATCCAGGTCTGCTGAAGAGACTTCTAAGAAGGTAAGCACAGTTAGATTTTTTGTAGCTAATACCCAAATTTCTCCTAGAAATCCACAAGTTAATAAAAGGAAATCATGGCTTGTTCTTCTGGGTTGTGGATAAGAGAAGTAGAATTAGGGTCAGCTACATTTAGATCAGCTGTGATAACTTGATTCTGAACCTTCACTTAGGGAAATAATAGGCATCTTTGATCCTTCACAAATGATTACTAAGCAATAAATTTTGAAAATTGCAGATGATGAAATAAATGATGTCTATGAATTGGCAAAGTTTACATTTAGAAGAAGTCTTTAGTTTGCTTGATGGAAAATTCATAATATTGTCATCTCATAAGAAATACATGAATGACATTGCCATGAAAAACACCTTGAAATAGTAATAGGTAAAATGCACATCTGCACATAAAGTTTTATTATATACTAGTAGTCACATGTTAGAGATCATGAGAACAAATGGACAAACCCAGTGGAAAATTTGTCAGATTCACAGTTATACAAGTCCTTGCTGTTTTAATATTTCCTTAAGGATATTTGTTTTGTTATTTAACTTGCCTCTACATCAAATAATAAAAGAATCACTACTGTCAAATTGAGTTAAGTCCCACAATTCTTAAAGTTTATTAACTTTTCCCAGTGAGAGGCAGGAAGTAACTGAGAGTTGGGAACATCAATTAGAAACATCTGTATTACCTACTATTAATATTTTTAAAAGTCCTTTTCTAGAGCCTGTTAAAAGACATCATGTATACTTGAATATAGGTAAGATTTTAAGTATTGATCTTAGAATTTGACATACATGACAAGTCCTGTTAAATTTATTGATTTTATTGTTCACATTTTCTAAGTCCTGACAGTGATTTTTACCTTATTCAATTAGCAACTGACAAAGATACTGCAATGCATACCATAAAATGGTAGCTTTTTTCTTGTAGTTATTTCAAACTCATACATGTGTATTCACTCATATGCACATATGCTACATACTATATATGTGGCATATTATATATGTATTACATATTATATATGTATTGCATGTGTGAAGATATTTAAACAAAAAATATAATCCATAATATTATTTATAGTGCTGTAAAAGAACATAAAATTCTACCAAATTGAGTATTCTTATTATTAGAATAATGTATAAAGACAAATATATCTTCTTAGAAATTTTTACCTTATCTTACTAATGTTATCCTTTAAATTCATATTAGTATAGATAACAAACACTTTTTTAGTTATCTTTGGAAGGGTAATTCATTTTTCATATTTCCTCATTTAAATAAAATTTCATAAAAAATGTATAGGTAAATATCTTTAATCAAATTTGATGATTTATTATATCCTTGGCTATATCTTCTAAATATATGCTATAATAACTTCCTTTGACTTGTTTTTCAGTCTTTCCCTGAAGTGATGACAATTCTATATTCTTTTTCTCTCTTTTTTAAAATTACACCTGTATTTTGTACTTTGAGACAAAAAATTAGGAAAGCACTCTATTATTTTTCTATCTGTCCTCTACCATATTGATATTTCCTAATTTTATTCCCTTTTATCAGAGTGTATTTTTAAAACATAAGCACCCCAGGGCTGGGAATATGGATCAGTGGTAGAATTCAGGCCTTGCGTACCTAAGGCCCTGGGTTTGATCCCCAGCACCACACAGACAAAATAATAATATAATAATAATAATAATAATAATAATAATAATAATAATAATAATGTCTGTAGCCTTATGTTAAAAAAAAACTTTAAAGCATAAGCACCTCAAGTCAAGTATGGTTTCATTTTACTTAATTTTGATCTGCAGGGTTTTCATCTTTGCTATTAATTCTTTTGTTCAATATTTATTAAAATAGTTATTGTTATGTATATCTTTTCCTAGTCGAATTAATGAGGCCTTTAGTTTGAGATGAGAAATTTTAGTGTTTCATGTAAAATATTACTTTTACACAATTATAAAGCATTGTTTGAGGATTGTTTTTAAAATAACAAAAGTTGAAAGCAAAACTTCCACAGGTATAGAATGACTACATTAAGAAATGTGGAAACCAGACATTACAGAAGGTGATTTAATTCACATGTTCTAAATACTGTACTACTTCAAAATCAAGTGGGATCTGGATCATTATGCATCAATCAAAATCCATAATGCTTCAACATCCAAAACCATTGTTCTGATTTTAGGGAAATAAACAGAGACTTGGTGTACCCTTCTGTATAAATCACATCTGATTATTGCATAGCTGCACTGTGTTCTCAAATTCACCAACCAAACTTTACTATTTTTAAAACATTTTGGTTTTGACATCCGTAGAGGATGTTGGACCAGTATTACATAAAATTAATCCTCTTGTAGCCATCTGTTTTCTGCTGAAAATCAGTTTCAGTATGATACCTAAATGTCTGGAGGTGATACACTCCTTATTTATGAGGGCTTATAGAACAGTTGTTTTAACTTGGATACTCTGCAATTTCACCACCCTGAAATGTGTTTTCCTATGAATTAACAAATGATATAGTGAAAATTTCAATCTAAGGATTTGCATGTTTGCATAAAAATGAGGCAATTAACAGCCCCCCAAATTTCAACATTTCAATTAGTCAAAAGATATATAAATAGGTTATTCTTAAACTAAATAGAATTGTGCAATTATCCAAAACTATGAATTCATACCTTGTACTGAGTGTCCTAAAGAAAAAGAACAGGTGTGAAATAGACTGGCACACAGGCCATTTGGGAACTCTGAAATCCTGCAGAAGGTATAACCAGAATTGAGTCCTACATGTTACATGGGGTCATAAGAGCAAGAAACGTCAGAATGATTTTTCAGGGAAAGAAAAGTGAATTGCCAATGACAGAAATTACAATAAACAAAAATGTGTTGTATGATTCTAAATAATATAGTGTGGAATGATAAAGTTCTTACTGGCAGACAAATGTTTACTAGCAAAAGATGCAAGTAATGTAAGTAGAAGTGCTACAATGTTTTATGTACAAAATAGGGATTTTTTATTGTTTTTGTTTTATGCAAAATGGGGATCTATTTGAAGGATTTCACTAAGGAAAAAGGATGGCTAATTAGCAAAAAATTTTCTGTATATAAAGAAAAAGTTCCAGTAACAGTTAAAGTAGTTCTAAGCAATAAATTCTTTGATCCTGCTCTGGACATCATGTAGACACTCAACAGTGACACTGACAGGGGTAAAGAGGATGGCATCGAATACCACAGAAGGTACAATGTTAATGGGACTTCAATAATGAACAGTCATATGGACAAGTGGGATGCTTTGGGGAAGAAATAGTTACAAAATACATACACCAGGGCAAAACTCCAGCCGCTATAGAATACAAAGTGCAGCCAGAGAATGGGAAACTGCATAGCCAATCCACTAAGAACTGTAATATGCCCCTATCTCCAGACATTCCTCCCAAAAATCCATCCCAGACAAAGTTCAGGGTAAATGTGAAGGATATATTTAGGATTTCTTCAAGGTGTTCCTCTGCATTCATTGTCTATACCGAAACATCTGATAATTATGTCCCTTTCAGTTGCACACGAACTTGTGTCTTACGGACCTCACTGTGTTATGAATAAAAAACAGAGACTAACCTCATCTGTCAAGTTTACTCTACACATGCATAATGCAAACACATTTGCTAATTTTCTCTTGTAGATTTAACTGTCTTTCCATGGAGGAAGATACATTCAAGAATATTATTTTACAGCATGGCTTGCATCCTCTTAGTGACTATCATTTTAGAATGATCAAGTCTTTACTGGCAGAAGACTTAAATTTGAAGGGAAGCAAGTATGAAGAATGTGACAAAATTAAATTTGCTGACCTGATGGCAGAAAACTTCAAACAGGATGAGATCCTGGAAAAATTGATAGCACTCTTCGAAATGATACCACCTCTAGAAAACACTGCCAAACTTCTCAGGAAAGAGAAGCCAAAAGGTAATAGGGTATCCTTTCTCCAGTCTTGTCAAGAACCCCACCTTTGTCACGGTCATCATTTCCCCAGCATGTCACGCAATATCTATAGCAGTAGTGGTAACTCTAGTGCCAACAACTTGAAAACCTAGAGAATACCTTGACTATAACATGTTCTAAGAAACTGGAAGAAGAGGATTTGCAGGGAGGCCACCAAAGTGATGAAAGAAAGCACAATGAATTCTTGACAAAATTCGATCATTCTGCTGAATTGGAAAACTTGAAAAATAGCAAAATAAAATTTGACATCAATAATTTTCTAATGAATGCAGTTTATATATTTAGATGTTTTAATATCTCCTGTCTTTTAGGATAATAGTATTTTCCCCTATCTTTAATCTTTCTATCTCTAAAGTTGCATTAAAAGAAGTAACTGGCTTTTCCTTAGTCAGATTTGGCATAGTAATTTCCTTTTCATTCATTTGTCATTTATACAAAATTAATTAAAAACATGTGGGTAGATGTTTGAAATCAATTTTAATCATTTGTTGTCTACTTGGCTACAATCTTTAGGCGTATGGTAAAATTGTATGCTTGGGCTTGAATTTGCTGTCTTCTTTTGCAGTTATGAATTCTGCATTCTCCTCCATGTGAGCATTGTATTTAATCTTGCTTTTTTGTGCTTTAGGACAAATATATTGGGAAAATTTCCTAGTCTGTGCCCTTCAACTCTCCACCATATAAATATTTCATGGGTTTTTTTCAGTCTGTCTTTCACCAGAACCTGTTTCTTGGACAAAGCACAGCTATCAAATGTGCTTTTGTTTCACTGAATTTTGGCCTACAGAATTTTCACTTTTGCCTTTCATTTTCTTGTTGAATATTACTTCCAAACCCTATTTGTGTGTGTGTGTGTGTGTGTGTGTGTGTGTGTGTGTGTGTGTGTATGATTCCCTTTCTAAATTGATGAAGCTTTTAGGATCAAAGAATAGATTTTGATGTTTTTCTGTTGAAATGTCATTTTATATAGTTCTAAATTTGTGATCCAAACTTTGGTTTCACAAAGGACAAGTTCAAAGCATCTCTTTTACACATGTGGGACTAGACATATTTTTATATTTAGAATCTGAATTTTGCACATGTGACTTCATTCACATGTTCTAAATCTTATACTATGAGAAATGCCATTGGGATCAAGATCGCTATGCCTCAAGCAAAATCCATAATACTTCAACATCCATAAATATCATTTTCATTTTAGTGAAAAAAACAAAGATTATACATAGCTTTCTGTGTATTTCACAGCTGGCTGTATTTTATGACAGGAATGTGGTGTCAAATCACCAATCAAAATTTTCTATTTTTAAAGCATTTTGGCTTTGTCATCCAGACAGGATGTTGGACTACTACTAAGTAAAAATTATTCCTCTTGAAGCCATTGTTTTTCTGCAGGACTATTCTGATTTTATTACAGTAGCTTTGGAGTATAACTTCAAGTCAGGGATTTGATGGGATGCTTCCAGCCTTGCCGTTGTTGCTTAGAATTATCTTTGCTATTCTAGGTCTGTTCTGGTTCCAGATGAATTTTAGGGGTGATTTCTCTAGATCTCTAAGTGTGCTAATGGTATTTTGATTGGGATTGCATTAAATCTGTGTAACAATTTTGGGAGAATGGCCGTTTTCACAATGTTTGTTCTTCCTATCCATGAACAAGGGATGTCCTTCCATTTTCCAAGGTCCTCTTCGATTTCTTTCTTCATGGTAGCATAGTTTTCTCTGAGTGGGTTTTTTGCTTCTTCCGTTACATTAATTCCTAAGTATTTTATTTTTTTTGGATGCTAGTGTGAAGGGTGTGGCTTCTCTTATTTCTCTCTCAGTGGTTTGTTGTTAGTGTATAGGAATGCTGTTGACTTTTGAGTATTGACTTTATATCCAGCTATATTACTGAATTTATTTATTATACCTAGGAGCCTTTCAATGGAGTTTTGGTGGTTTGATGTAGAGTATCACATCATTTGCAAATAATGATAATTTAACTTCTTCTTTCTCCTATCCTTACCCCTCTTATTACTCTCTCTTGTCCAATTTCTCTGGCTAGTATTTCCAGCACTATATTAAATAGGAATGTGACAATAGATATCCTTGTCTTTTTCCTAATTTTAGAGCAAAGGCTTTCAGTTTGGGGCCCTTTAATATAATGCTGGCTGTTGGATTGTCATAAACAGCTTTTATCATATTGAGGTAAAGACCATCTATTCCAATTTTCTGTAAGGTTTTTATCCTGAATAAGTGTTGGACCTTATCAAAAGCTTTTTATGCATCTATATAAATGATCATGTGTTCTTATTCTTGGCTCTGTTGATATGGTGTATTACACTTATTGATTTGTATATGTTGAACCATTCCTGCATTCCTGATCCACTGGGTCATGGTGTATAATCTTCAGATGTATGGAATACATTTTCTTCTATGTACTTGGATTCTAGACTTTCTTGTGATGGGCTGGAGATTTGAGATTGCATTTTTGTCTTTCATCTTGTCATTTTCCTATATTTTCATGTTTCAAGTGATGTTCCACAGCTTCCTCCGGGCATGTTGGAAATCCCCTCCTGTGCCCTCAGCTCCTAGGACTGAATGGAGGTTGCTGAGTATGGTCCAGTCAGGCCCACAGGACCTCCTGTGCCATCTGCAGTTTTCCAGGAAGCTGGGCAAGCTCTTAACCACTGTGGGTGATGGTCCAAAGCTTTCCCCGAGCAAGCACCAATGTGATGTAACTCACTTCCATTGCCCTCAGATCCCCTGATTGAAGAAGGGAGTGGTCTAGTCAGTCCTGCAAAACCTCCCAAGCTTAGTCTAGTGTGTCTGGAAGCTAGGCAGATCCTTAACTGCTGGGAGCAAGGATCTTAACCTCTCCCCTGCCCAGGATGGTGTGCTGGAACTCAGCTCGCACAGCCCCTGTTCGCTGGATTGAAAGAAGGTCACTGGGTGCCCACAAAACCTGCAGTACCAAGTCTAGTGTGGCTGGAAGCTGGGCAAACACTTAACCACTGGGAGTGATGATATTAAACTATCCCAGGGCCCATGCTGGTGTGCTGGAACTCACCTCTGGCAGCCCAGTTCCCCGCATTGAAAGAATGTCATTGGGCATGGCCCAGTCAGGCCATAATCCTGCAGAGCCCAGGCTAGTGTGGCTGGAAGCTGGGCGGGTTCTTAACCACTGGGAGTGATGAATCTTAAACTCTCCCCAGCTGGTGCTGTTGTGCTGGAACTCATGGTGTATAATCTTCTTGATGATTTGCTGCATTATGCTTGCCAGCATTTTATTGAGTATTTTGCTTCCATGTTCATGAGGGAGATTGGCCTGTAGTTCTCTTTTTGTTTGGGTCTTTCTCAGGTTTTGGTATTAGAGTAATGTTTGCTTCCAGGAATGACTTAGGGAGAATTGTTTCCCTTCAATTTCATTGAAGAGTTTGAGGAGTGTTGGCATTAAATCAAGAAATGAATTTTCAATAACAGAAATAGGGTAATCAAAAGTGCATTGTCTTTTTGAAGAATATAATTTTAGAACAGTACCATCCTTACTGGCAGAACAAAAACTAACGAGCAAAATATGCAAAACGTGAAAGCAGACATTCTTCAACTTTTTTGTAGATAAGAGAGTCTTTGTTGTTGTTGTTTATGAGAAATGGTAATATTGTGGAAGAATTTCAGCAAGGCTAAACCATAGGTAATTGAAAGAAAACTGGTTCTAGTTTTTTAAAAATGTAATTAAAGGAAAATATGCAGTAACACTTAAAGCAGTTCCAACCAATCCATGTTTGATTCCACTCTGGACCACATGAGGGCATTGATAGGTGACCCTTAGAGGAGTACAGAGGATGATATGGAATACAACAGTAGATACAATGCTAATGGGACTTAGTTAAAGAACAGTCAAATGGTTGAGGGGTATGCTTGGGGGAAGAGGTAGTTGCAAAAGACATATACCAAGTCTATTAACTCCAATCTATACAGAACCAAATCCAGAGCCAGGGACTTGGACACTGTATAGCCAGTCCTCAGAACATATAAGATCTGCCTATCTTTACACTTTCTTCTCATATATCCATCCCTATCACATTTCACCATCAATAGGGAGGTTCACGGAGATTTTCAGCATACATTTTCTATAGTGAAACATCTGGTAATGATTTCCATCCTTGTGACACATGCATATGTATTATAGTAGTGTGAATCTCACTCTATGAATCAATGAAAAGGCATAGCTCATTTTTCAAGTTATCTCTATGCATGTGTAATGAAAACACGTATGCCAATTTTCTTTTTTAGGTGTAACTGTCTTTCCAAAGAGGGAAAATACATGCAAGGAAATCGTCTTACTGCATGGCTTACACTCACTAAGTAATTATCATTTTCAAATGATAAAGTCCTTAATGGCTCAGCACTTATACCTGAAGGGAAGCGAGTATGAAGAATGCGACAAAATTAAATTTGCTGACCTGATGGCAGAAAAGTTCGAAAAGGATGCGGGCCTGGGAACACTGATAGCACTCTTCAAGATGATACCACCTCTGGAAAACACTGCAAAATTTCTCAGAAAAAAGATGCCAAAAGGTAATTGGATGCCCTCTCCCAAACCTTGTCTCCAAACCTACCTTGGTCATGGTCATCGCATCCCCAGTATGCTGCTCAAAATCTATAGCAGTGGTGGTAGATATGGGGCCAACAACATGAAAACCTAGAGAACATCTGTCCTATAACAAGTTCTAATAAATTGGGAGGAAGGAGCTTTTTGGATAATCCACCAAAATGGTGAAAGAAAGCGGCATGAATTCTCAACAAAATTCTAACATTCCGATGCATTGGAAAACCTGAAAATGGCAAAATAAAATTTGACATGAATTATTTTATAATGAATTCAGCTTACCTTTTTAGATCAACTAATATCTCCTGTTTTTAATGTAATTGTCATTTCTTCTATCTTCAAACTTTTCATCTTAAACCTGCATTTATAGAGATAACTGGCTTTCCCTTGGTCAGATTTGGCATAGTAATTTCTTTTTCATTTACTTAGCATTTTAAAAAGTTTAGTTAAAAACAAGTGGGTAGATCTTTGAAATCTAATTTAATCATTTGTCATCTACTTAGCTAGAACATTTAGGTGCGTGGTAAAATTGCATGCTTGGACATGATTTTGACATGTTCCCTTGCAGTTATGACTCTTCTGCATTCTCCTCCATGTCAGCATTGTTTCTAATTCTACTTCTATCTTATGCTTTAGGACAGATTCACGGGGAAAGCTTCCTAATCTGTGCCCTTCCGCCCTCCACCATACTAATATTCCCTGTTTTTCTTTAGTCTTTCTTTCACCAGAACCTTTTTTCAGACAAAGCACAGCAATAAAATGTTTTTATTTCCCTGATTTTTGCCCTGTGGGGTTCTTCACTTTGCTATTCATATTCTTGTAGACTATTACTTCCAAACAGCATGTCTGTGTGTTTGCCTTTCTCACTGAAAAATAATGAGACCTTTAGGATATGAGAATAGATTTTGGTACTTTTCTGTAGAAATGTCATTTTATATAGTTTGAAATGGTGGATCCATTTGGTTTCGCACCAGACCAGTGGAGACCACTTTTCTATATGGAGAGGTCTAGATGTATTCTGAAATTCAGAATATGAATTTTGTAGAAGTATACTTCACCTGTGTCTTCTAAAAATTGTACTAAGAGAAATGCCATTGCTGTCTTTATCGCTAGGCCTCAATAGAAATCCATAATACTTCAAAATTCAAGTGGAATTTTCTCATTTTAGTGAACTAAATAGACATTAAGTATGCATGGCCTTGTGTCATTTCACATCTGTGTTTCACAACTGCATTGTGTTGTCAAAGCCACCAATGAAAAATATGTAACTTTAAATTTTTTTAGTTAGCCATCTATATGAGATGTTGGACCAGTATTCTATAAAAATTGCTCCTCTTGGAGCCATCTGTTTCTTGCTAAGCATCAAGTTTAAAATGAGTCTTGAATATCTGGAGGTGATAGACTCCTTATTTGAGGGTGCTCATAGAGCGTTTATTTGCCTAAAATGCTCTTCAATCTCACTTACCTACAGTTTCTCTTCCTATGGATTTCTCCCTCCATGCAAGGGGACATTCCTGTCTCAGGATTTCCCTATTTCCTTAACAAGGAGGCAATTCACAGTCTCAGCGACTCAAACACTTCAAACATTCAAAAGTTATAGAGAAACATGATTCTGAAATTAAAATGATTTGTACATTTATCCAAAAAAAAAAGAAAATCTCTTTCAAGCATCTAAAGAAAATGCATAGGTGCTAAATACTTTCAGAGACAAGGCAGTCCATTTGGGGAGTGTGACATCGTAAAGAAGATAAAATCAGAACTGAGTCTTAAGAGTCGCAAGAAATGTAGGAATGTTTTACAGGAAAAGAAAAGTCAATTGTCAGTGAAATAAAATAAGACAAAGGGATATTGTATTTTTCTAAAAAACATCAGTTAAAAATGATAATATCCTTACTGGACCAAAAATTCACAAGCAAAAAGTAAAAATGGACACATGTCAGTGTTTTATGTATAAAAGAGTCTTTTTTGCGATTGAAGTTGTCTGTTTCAGTCTTTTCAGAAATCTCAGTATGGCTAAAGAAATTCCGTCAAGTGACAGAGAAGTGGTAGTATTTCTTAAAAATGACTAAAGACAATATTCAATACTAGTAAAAGTAGTGCCTACCAATCAATGTTTTAATTCCACTCTGTATCACATAGGTGACACTGAGATGGATGCAGGGGACATCGTTGAATACTACATTAGACACTAAGCTAACGGAACTTAATTAATGAACAGTCAAATTGTTCGGAGGGCTACTTGAGGAAAGAGGTAGTTGCAATAGACATATACCAAAGAAAAGTTCCATTCTCTACAGAATAGAATATGGAAGCAGCAACTTGTACACTGCACAACCAGACCTCTAAGCACCATAAAATATGCCTATCTCCACATTTTCTCCTCCCACATCCATCCCTCTCGCATGTCACTGTCAATAGGCAGGAATCCTTTGGAATTCTTCACAGGGCTCTTCTGAGTTCCTTTCTATAGTGAAGCATCCAGTAATTGTGTCCCCCTTGGTGCACACATGAATGTATCATTACAGTGTGGACCACACTTTGTCAGGAATTAAAGGAAGAGGCATACTTCATTTGTCAAGTTGTGTCTACACACATAAAATGAAAAACCATTTGCCAATTTCTTTTGTAGATTTAACTGTCTTTCCATGGAGTGAAAATACCTGCAAGGAAATTGTTTTTCTGCACGGCTTATATCCTCTCAGTGACTATCACTTTAGAATGATAAAGTCCTTACTGGCAGAAGAGTTAAAACTAAAGCAAAGCGAGTATGAAGAATGTGACAAAATTAAATTTGCCGACCTGATGGCAGAAAATTTCAAAATGGATGCGGGCCTCGGAACACTGATAGCACTCTTTGAAATGATACCAACTTTAGAAAACACTGCTGATCTTCTCAGAAAAGAAACGCCAAAAGGTAATAGGACGCACTCTCTGAAAAATTTTCTCAATCCCTATCTATGTCAGAGTCATCACTTCCCCAGCATAGTGTTCAGTATCTACAGCAGTACTAGTAGCTCAGGTGCCAACACGTTGAAAACCTAGAGAACTACTGTCCTATAACATGTTCTAATAAATTTGAGGAAGGAGGTTTTGGGGTTGCCACAAAGTAATGAAATAAAAGACTGAATTCTCTACAAATTTCTAATATTCAGATGCATTGAAAAAATTTTTTAAAAATCAAAATAATTTTTGACAACACGAAGTATTTTATAATGAATGCAGTTTAAGTATTTGGATCAATTAATATCACAGTTCTTTTAGGATAAATATCATTTCCCCTATCTTCAAATTTTTCATCTAAAAACTGCCTTTATAGAGGTAAGTAGCATTCCCTTAGCCAGATTTGGCACATTAATCTCTTTTTCATTTATTCTCGAATTAAATAATGTTTACTTCACAATATAATGAGTAGATGTTTGAAATTGAATTTAATCATGTGTCATCTACTTGGCTAGAATGTTTAGGTGTATGGTGTAATTGCATGCTTGGGTTTCATTTTGCTGCCTTCTCTTGCAGTTGTGACACTTCTGCATTCTCCTCCATGTGAGCGTTGCTTCTAATTCTGCCTCTATCTTTTGCTTTAAGACAAATACGTTGGGGAATCTTCCTAGTCTGTCTCCTTCCACCCTCCACCATACCAATATTTCCTGATTTTGATTTTTCTTTTTTTCCCTATTTCATCAGAGCCTGTTTTTCTGACAAAGCACCACAACGAAATGCATTTATTTCATTGCATTTTTCTCCACAGGATTCTCCACTTTGCTTTTCATATTCTTGTTGACTATTACTTCCAATTATTGTTTATGGTTGTGTATGTTTCTGTTTTCCAACTAAGGAGCCCTTTTCAATCCAAGAATAGATTTAGATGCTTTTTTATTGAAATAACATGTGCATATAGTTCTAAATTTTGGATCCAAAGTTTGGAATCACAGAGACAAGTTGAGGACACTTCCTCTGCACATGGTGCACTAGACATATTCTGAAATTCAGAATCTAAGTTTTACAAAAAGTTTTTTTCACTCCTGTGTTCTAAAAATTGTTTTATGAGAAATGCCATTGCTCTCTTTATCCCAAGGCCTTTATCAATATCCACAATACTTCAACATCCACATAGAATCATCTCATTATAGTTAACTAAACAGATATCATATATAGCATTATGTGATTTCACAGCTGACTATTTCACAACTGCATTGTGTGTTCAAAGCCACCAATGAAAAATTTGTATTTTTAAAACATTGTGGCTTTACCATTCATATGGGATGTCGAACTAGTGTTGTGTAAAAATTACTCCTCTTGTAGCAATCTGTTTCCTGCTAGAATCAGGTTCACTATGAGTCTTGAATATGTGGAGGTATTAGAATTTGGGGGTGTTTATACAGAATGTGTTTGCCTAAAATAAGCTTCAATCTCACTACTGTGCAGTTTTTCTTCCTATGAATTTATAATTCAGGCAGTAGGAGGTTTCAATCTCTCCTTGTTCCTGTAACAAGGAGGCAATTCACAGTCTCAGTGAGTCAAATTTTGAGCCACTCAAAAGATACACAGAAACATGAAACTTAAACTAACAGGATTTGTACATTTATTCAATAATAGGAAATTTCCTCCAAGTGCCCTGAAGAAACCACACAAGCGCTAAATTGCTTCAGAGGCAAGACACTCAGACCGTTTGGGGAGTCCGAAATCTTACCAAAGTCAAAACCAGAACTAACTCCTAACAGTTGCATGGTGCTCATAAGAGCAAGAAATGTAGGAATGGTTTTCCAGGAAAAGAAAAGTCAATTACCAATGACAGACAATACAACAAACAAAAGTATATTTTCATTTCTAATCAATATTATTTTAGAAAGATAATGTCCATACTGGTGGAACAAAAATTAACAAGTAAAAAATACAAATAATGAGAAGAGATGTGCTTCAATATTTTTTTAACCAGGGATTAAACTCAGAACTTCCTGCTTGCAAGGCAGGTGCTTATGCTGCTGAGCTAAATCCCCAGCCCCTAGAGGCTGTTTTTTTTTTGTTTGTTTGTTTGTTTGTTTTTTGTTGTGTGCTTCAATATTTTATGTAGAAAGGAGAGTCTTTTTTGTTCTTGTAGGTCTTGTTTTTCTTTTTTTTTTTTTTTTGAGAATGGTTTAAGAAATTCGGGAAGGTTAAACCTTGGCTAATAACAGAAAAATGTTTCTATTTAAATAAAAATGACTAAAGAAAAATATCAAGTAACAGTTAAAGCAGTTCCAACCAAAAAATGCTTTATTCCTTTTCTGGAAAACATGTGGACATGCAATGAAGACATTGAGAAGGATATAGAGGACATCATTGAGTGCTACATTAGATGCTAAGCTAATGGCACTTAATTAATGAACAGTCAAATGCTCCGGAGGGTTGCTTAAGGGAAGAGATAGTTATAATACATACACACCAAGAAAACGTTCCATTCTCTACAGAATAGAAACTGGAGACAGGGACATGGACCCTATATAGCCAGTGCTCCAAGCATCATAAGAACTGCCAATTTCCAGACTTTCTTCTCCCCCATCCATCCCTGATACTTGTTACTGTCAATAAGTAGGAACCTCTTACAAATTCTTCATTGAGCTCTTCCATGTCTCTTTTACAGTGAAACATCTGGTAATTATATTCTCCTTTTTGTACACACAATTATATCATAACAGTGTGGATCTCACTCTGTCAGGAACCAAATGAAAAGACACACATCATTTGTCAAATTGGCTATATATATGTCTAATGAAAACTTATTTGCCAATTTTCTTTTTTAGATTTAACTGTCTTTTCATTGAAGGAAAACACATGCAAGGAAATCGTTTTTCTGCACGGCTTATATCCTCTCAGTGACTATCATTTTAGAATGATAAAGTCCTTACTGGCAGAAGAGTTAATACTACAGCGAAGTGAGTATGAAGAATGTGACAAAATTAAATTTGCTGACCTGATGGCAGAAAAGTTCAAAATGGATGCAGGCCTGGGAACACTGATAGCAATCTTTGAACTGATACCACCTCTACAAAACACTGCCGAACTTCTCAGAAAAGAGAAGCCAAAAGGTAACAGGGTGACCTATCCCCAATCTTATCTCGAACCCCATCTTGGACACTGTCATCATTTCTCCAGCATTTTCCACAGTATTTACAGCAGTGGTAGTAGCTATGGGGCCATCAATTGGAGAACCTAGAGAACAGTTCTCCTATAAAATATTCTAGTAAATTTGAGCCAAAAGATATTGGAAAATCTGCCAAAATTATAAAATAATGCAGAATAAATTCTCAACAAGCTTTTAATATTCTGATGCATTGGAAATACTAAAAATTAGCAAAGTAATATTTGACAACATGAAGCATCTTATAATTACTGCAGTATAAGTATTTATATCAGTTAATGTCACATGTCTTTTAGGGTAAATCACATTTCCTCTATCTTCAAACTTTTCAAATCTTAAGAGCTGCCTTTATAGAGGTAACTTGCTTTCTCTTAGATTTGGCACATTAATCTCTTTTTAATTTATTCCACAATTAGGTAAAGGTTACATAACAACATGTGGATAGATTCTGAAATTGAATTTAATCATTTGTCATCTACTTGCCTAGAATGTTCAGACACCTGGTATAATTGCATGCTTGGACATCATTTTTCTGTCTTCCCTTGCAGTTATGCTTCTTCATTCTCCTCCATGAGAGCATTGTTTCTAATTCAGCCTTTATTTTATGCTTTAGGACAAATATATTGTAAAAGCTTCCTAGTCTGTGTCCTTCCATCCTCCACCATATTGATATTTCCTGATTTGGGTTTTTGGTTTTTTCTCTGTTTCATTAGAGTCTGTTTTTTTTTCTCTGTTTCATTAGACCCTGTTTTTTAGACAAAACACCACAACAGAGTATGTTTATTTCACTGCATTTTTTCCCTATGGGATTCTCAGCTTTGCTTTTTATTTTCTTGTTGACTATTCCTTCCAATTATTGTGTGTGTGTGTGTGTGTGTGTGTGTGTGTCTTTCCCAAGAAGAAGTTAGAAGCCCTTTAGGGTCTGACAATAGATTTTGATGCTTTTCTGTTGAAATAGCATTTGCTGAGTTCTCAAATTTTATCCAAAATTTGGTTTCACAGAAGAGAAATTGAGAGCACCTCTTCTACACATGGAGGACTAGGCATTTTTGAAAGTCAGATATGGATTTTGCAGAAGTTACTTCACTTGTGTTTTAACATTAGTGCTACAAGAAATACCATTGCTATCTTTATCCCTAGGCCTCTATCAAAATCCATAACTCTTCAACATCAACATAGAATTGTGTCTTTTTAGTGAACTAAACAGAGATTATACATAGCCTTGTGTAACTTCACATCTGACTGTAATTCACAATTGCATTGTGTTGTCAGAACCAAAATGAAAAATTTCTACTTTTAAAACATTTGGATTTTGCCATCCCTATAGAATATTGTACCAGGATTACATGAAAATTACTCCCTTTGTAACCATGTATTTCCTGCTGAGATGGAGTTTCTTATAATTAATGAATATCTGGAGGTGATAGACTTTATTTGATAGTGCGTAAGGAGCACTCATTTGCCTATAATACTCTCCAATCTCAGTATCCTGAAATTTGTCTTCCTATGTATTTAAACCTCATGCAATGAGAGTTTTCCATCTCAGAATTTCCTTGTTCCCTTAACAAGGAGGCAATTTACAGTCTCAGGGACTCCAACATTTCAACTACACAAAAGATACGTGAACACGTGATTCTTTCTTTGTACATATAGTAAATATTTCTTTTTATTTATTTAAAGAAAGAAAAACAAAATAGAAAAAGGTAGGGTAGTACAGAATTCAAAAAAAATTAACACTAAGAAATAACTAATTGATAGTTACATATTGTCATCTTAGAAATGGTTGTTCAAGTTACAAAATCAAAGCACAAAAAATGGATAAACATACAAACATTGATAGTATAAACCATTCTGTTCAATGATCCAGTAAAAATTTAGCCATATGATCATCTATCTTACACACTTATACATATAGTTACATACTTTAGAGCACTTTCCTTCCTTTTCATTTTTAAAATATCTATTATACATTTTGGATATTGTTATTCTTTTAGTTTTTATTTTTTTACTCTAGAGAGACAATGTAATATTTACTAATATGAGTCTTGTTTATTTCACTAATGAGGAGAGTCTCAAGTTGCCTCCATTTACCAATAAAGGTCTCAAGATCATCCAAGTTTATGCTGAGTAATATTCCATTGTATAAAAATGCCATATCTTTTTCATCCAGTCTGTGGTGATGGGCATTTTTGTTGTTTCCAAGATTTAGCTATTATAAATTGTGCTACCATGAACACGGGTACACATATATCACTTTGACACGACTTTTTCAATTTTTCTGGAAAAATATGCAGGAGGGGAATAGCTGGATTGAATGGAACTTCCAATTCTAGTTTATTGAGGAATCACCATACTGATTTCCACAGTGATTGCACCACTCTACACTCCTACCAACAGTGGAGCAGTGTTCCTTTCTCCCCACAGCCTCACCAACATTTGTTATCCATTGATTTCTTCATGGCAGCCATTCTTTCTGGTGTGAGATGAAATCTCAGTGTTGCTTTAATTTGTATTTCTCGAATGACCAGTGATGGTGAACATTTCCTCATGTATTTATTTGCCATTTGTGTATCTTCATCTGAGAAATGCATATTCATCTCAGATGCCCATTTTTGGAATGGGTCTTTGAATTTGGGAGGCTTGATGTTTTAATTCTTTATCTGTTCTAGATATAAGTCCTTTGTCTGAGGGATTTTGGGCTAAAATTCTTTCCCATTCTGTGAGTTTCCTTTTCACTTTGTTCGTGACTTCTCTTGATGTGCAAAAACTTTTTAGTAATATGAGATCCCAGATGTTGATTCTTTGAAGCATTTCCCATGTAGCTTATAATTGTTCATAAATTTTCTGCCTACTCCTATGTCTCCAAGATTTCTACCTATCTTATCTTTCAGTAGATTTAGTGTTTCTGTTTTAATATTTAGTTCCCTGATCCATTTTGACCTTAGTTTAGTGCATGGTGATAGATATCAGTCTAGTTTAAGTATTGGGCATGAGGAAAGCCAGTTTTTCCAACACCATTTATTAAAGCGACTATCCTTCTTCAAGTGAACATGTTTAGCAACTTTCTCAAATATAAGGTGGCTGAATGTCTTTGTAGTTATGTTTGCACCTTCTAATCTGTTCAGTTGATCCTCAGGTCTATTTCTTTGCCAGTATCATGCTGATTTTATCATTGTGGCTTTATAGTATAGTTTCAAGTCAGGAATTGAGATGCCTCCTTTCTTGCCTTTATTGCCCAGAATTACCTTTGCTATTTTAGATGTATTCCATTTCCAAATGAATTTTAGGAATATTTTCTCTAAATCTGTAAGGTATGTGGATGGTATTTTAATTGGGATTGCATTGAATGGTATTTTAATTGGGATTACATTGAACAGTTTTGGGAGTATGGCCATTTTCACAATATTAATTCTTCCTGCCCAAGAGCAAGGAATACCCTTCCATTTTCTAACATCCTCTTCAATCTCCTTTTTAACAGTAGTATAATTTTCAGCACATATGTCTTTTACTTTTTTGGTTAGTTTGATTCCTACGTATTTCATTTTTAGGTGCTATTGTGAAAGGTGGTGTTTCTATAATTTCTCTCAGGGATTTTTATTTGTGTACAGGAATACTATTGATTTCTGAGTGTTCACTATGTATCTGGCTATGCTGATGATTTTGTTTATTACCTCCAGTATTCTTTCCATCGAGTTTTTTGAGTCTTCTCTGTAAAGTATTATGTCATCTGCACATAATGATAATTTAACTTCTTCTTTTCCTATCTTTATTCCTTTTTTTTTCTCTTGTCTAATTGCTCTGGCTAATATTTCCACAACAATATTGAATAGCAGTGTGCTGATAGTGGACATCCTTGTCTTGTTCCTGATTTTAGAGTGAATGGTTTCAGTTTTTGTCAATTCAGTATAATGTTGGCTGTTGGTATGTAATAATACATATCCTTTATTAGACTGAGGTAGATGCCATCTATTCCAAGGTTCTGTAAGGTTTTTATCATGAGCAGATATTGGACTTTATCAAAAGATTTTTCTGCATCTATTGTGATGATCATTTGGTTTTCATTTTTGGCCCTATTTATGTGGTATATTACGTTTATTGATTTGTGTATATTAAACCATCCATGCTTTCCAAGAATAATTCCCACTTTGTCATGAAGTATAATCTTCTTGATAATTTGCTGCATTCTATTTGCTAACATTTTATTGAGAAACTTTGCATCGATGTTCATGAGTGAATTGGCCTCTAGTTCTCCTTTTTAATTGGGTCTTTCTCTGGTTTTGGTATCAGCATGATGCTTGCCTCCAGGAATGAGTTATGGAGGATTGGTGTCAAATCTTCTGTAAATTTCTTACAGAATACAGTTGTGAATCCATCAGGCCATGGGCTTTTCTTTTTCGCTAATTTTTAATCACATTTTCAATTTGGGTAGCTGATATTGAATTATATCTTCTTAATCGAGCTTTTATAGTTCATATGTTTCTAGAAATCTGTCCATTTCCTCTGTGTTATCCACCCTATATGAGTAGAGATTTTCAAAGTAGATGTTCATGATCTTTTGAATTTCCATTGGGTTCTGTAGTAATTTTCCTCTTTTCATTTCTTATTGCATGAATATGAGTTTTTTCTTTCTTTTTCTTGTTAAGGTTGACTAGAAGTTTATCAGTTTTTTTTATTCTCTCAAAAAGAAACCAGCTCTTTGATTCATTAATTCTTTGTAATATTTTTTAGTTTCAGTTGCATTAATTTCTTCTCTGATATTTACAATTTCCTCTCTTCTATGACCTTTGGGTTTGACTTGCTCTTCCTGTTCTAGAAACTTGAAATGTGGCATTAAGTTGTGTGTGTTCTTCCCATTTTCTCAATGTGACAGTTCATTGCTGCATACTTTCCATTTAGGACTGCTTTCACTGCATCCCACAGGTTATGGTATGTTGTGTCTGATTTTCA